GACATTTTTGTAATGAATGTAAGCATAATACTTTTAATGTACTACATGTAAACATTCTTGTAATAAATGTAAAGATAATACCTTGAATTACTACATGTAAACCTTCTTGTAATGAATGTAAACATAATACCTTGAATATATTATAAGTAAACATTCTTGTAATGATTGTATTACATGTAACATAGTGAATACTTACCCCATCTGTTCTCCACCAAGGAGTCGGTAAAAGCTCAGCTAACACTGCATCATCAGGTGGTTTGGTAAGCATCATGTATGCAAATCTAACTCGGCTAAATAACACATGTTTTAATAAATGTTTTCTTGTCTTTTCATGTCTAAGTACAGCCAATGCCAATGTCAAGTACATAATCTGTAAATAGAAAGCCAACAGATATAACATACAGCCAATGCCAATGTCAAGTACATAATCTGTAAATAGAAAGCCAACAGATATAACATACAAGTCTGTGACTGAAAGAGAGTCACCTTGTGAAATAGAAATAATGTCCAGTTAATATTCTGCAATATGAACAATATTTTTTTGCTGTACAATGAAAGATTTACATGTTGACATTGTAATCAAGTGCTTGAAGTGACATCATTGAAATGTCAGGGTTTGACATTTACGCTAGGCATATAGCCCAAAAATGGTGAACTATTTGCAGTAATAGTAGAAATAGTCTGTTGCTAGTCTGACAGGCTAGTTAATAATGGGCAGGACTACTAGAAATAGTCTGGTTGCTAGTCTGACAGGCTAGTTAATAATGGGCAGGACTAGTAGAAATGGTCTGGTTGCTAGTCTGACAGGCTAGTTAATAATGGGCAGGACTACTAGAAATAGTCTGGTTGCTAGTCTGACAGGCTAGTTAATAATGGGCAGGACTACTAGAAATAGTCTGGTTGCTAGTCTGACAAGTTACTTACAAATGGGCAGGACTAGTAGAAATAGTCTGGTTGCTAGTTTGAAAAGCTGGTGAATCAATTAATTATCAGTAAATTGTGTATTCAGTTTCTAAAGAACACTGCTATGAAAAAATTATTGTGCATAACATAATCACAGAACTACTAACATTTTTTAATATAATCACTATATTGGGGGTTTGAGAGTTTTTTTGACAGATGTCAAACCCTTGTGGTATGCACATAAATAATTTTTGTTATATCAGAATTATGCATGCACAAACATGACATGGTGCTGTGTGTATGACATCACTAGCAAGCGATAAGAATGTCATTTTCAAAGAAATTAACAACGTGAAATGAGCATTCTTAGTCAATTCCATCAATTTTATGACATAACATATTGACATTTGTATAAACAAATATAAATGCATAATTATTCATACTGTATGTTTATAAACAAATTAATCAATTTTGAAAGAAATATTAAAAGTTATCATGAATGACATGAATCCTGTAATGTTTTCACTTACGTAGCAATGTCATGACAGATTCATATGAAATTTGTCTGACACTGTAGTCTTTGATAAACATGTATTTTGTGAAACTGTTATGGTGCCAGAAAGTACAATAAAACTAATTGGTTATCAGATGGATGAACAGACTTGACTCAAAACAATCACCTTTGTTATTGGACTACCTCAAATGAATGTGATAAAATGAAATTATTTATTGGTAATTGTGTACAGAGGTTCACAATAAAAATATGAGTGGAATGACTGAGAACTAATGAGTTGTGATAACGATGGATCTAAATATTAAAATAATAAATTATAGCTTCACCTGAAACTTCATTTCTGTGGATGTTGGTGAATATCTGTACTTTGTAGTTAAAATAACAGCAAACAGTTCAAGACATTTCTTTATCTCATGACTCTCCATGCAAATCCACATAAGGTCAAGCATTTTGGCGACAAGTGGTTGAACTCCAAGCCGATCCTGGTTGTCGATAAGTCTTAATAGGAACTTGATGAATATATCATCAACTATATAAGCTACGGACTGAGAGACAAATGCATAATTAATATATAGCTGCAAACAGCAATAATTGGCTTGGACCAATAGACTATCAAACCCAAGTTACTATGAGTATGTCAGTGGTTGCTAGGGTCATAAAAAAAAAATTCTATCTATCTATATACCAACAAAAGAAAGTAAATGTATAATCACAGTATGAACTCTATTAGTCAGATAATTATGGTTACCCCTGGGTATATAACATTTTCAACTTGTTGCTATGGGTTGCTAGATGTCAAAAATGACGTTTTTACTCTGTATAAGGGCGGTTAATGTTTATGTTCAGCAAAAATGATGTTTTCTTGTTGGTTTCTATGGGTGTTGGCTTGGTTGCTAGAAACATGAACTGATTGTACAAGAGTGGTTTTTCAGCCTGGTTTATCCTAGAACACAAGTTAAATCTGATAAGCAGTTCTTGAGATATCAGAAAATTTATGCACATTAGGCTATTTACTATGCATGGGTTTCACCACTAAAATAGTCAGACCTTGACAGAGTACACATGATCCAAGTATGATTGAAATCTGTTGAGTGGTCCTCGAAATATCCTTACCGGTAGATTAACATCTGCAAATTGGCTAAATATTATGTAAATTAGGTAATTAATATGCAGTTTCAATTCCAATTGATCAAGCCTGTGGAGCATCAAAGCACCTTTTTATCAAGTTTCATTGAATTCTGATGATTGGTTTCTTGTTGAGATATCACACATACATACAGGTTAACTACAATGACTCCTGTTGTGTTAAAGGCAGCCATATTGCAGAATAATGTCATGAGTAAAAGACTGATAACCACAGAACAATTCTTACCAGCAAAGGCGTCAATTTTTCAAATAGATGAGTACAAACTAGTAATTTATTGACATGATTCTTCTTGGCTTGATCTGACATCAGTTTCATACTTGGAGAAGTCTACAATTATGCATCATAGAAAGGAAGAAAATGAACAGGTCTGATAATAATGTAATACACATTTATATAGTGAATATCCCACAGTATCGGATTTATAAGTAGTAATTTTAACTTGTTCTGAGCATTGGCCAAGAAACAAGTGAAAATCACTACACAAGTTTAATACCGAAAAATACTTTATTTTAGCTGGAATTAATTTTCACTGAAAAGACTTTTTGGGTGTTTTGTATGGAATTTATCACATTTGGTTTGTATTTTGAATTATAGGTATCGGTCAATATAACGATATATTGTTTTTTTCATTATGTTATGACAGTACAATGTCACAATGAACGCATTCTTTTACATGTCCAGTGGACACAGAGATATATTTTTTTTACATATGATTCATGTGTGCAAGACTGTCGAACCATTTATAACCATAATTTTCTCCAAAAGAAATAATTCGATCCCTATTTTTCAAACAGAAATATTGCTACATATAACATTTTTTTGTAAATTATAGGTATTTGCATCAAACGTCAATTGTACGTCAAACATACGCTAAGTGTATGTAAATTGTATGAAAATTGTACCATACAATGTCTTCACACTCATACAATGACAGACATTTACACCATATACACCTTGCCTCTCATTAACAATGATATGGACAAAGTAACGTAAAGTGACAGAACTGCATGTCTAGACTAAACTTGAATTATGGCATAGTGAAATAATACCTGATTTTATTTATATTTAAGTAATTCAAACCAGTTGTTAAATATTTTCACAATTCATGGTTATAATTCAGTGTAAAATGATTAGCGTACATACCTTACTTTCAACCAATGAGGGCAAACTCCTTTCTAAACAATCCACAAGAAAGTTGGCTTTCATAATAGCATCTGTTGGAGGGTTTTGAACAGGTTGGTAACCTTCCATTGGGTACGTGACACAGATGTAAGGAAAATACTATTGCAAATCACAACAAAATACCCAATGCACGTAACCATGACAACAACATTGAATTTGCCTTTTTCTTTGCATGTAATATAATTTCACACATTGTACATGGCAGCTTGGCCATTAATTTCTGATATAATAATAGTGCAACCATGGTAACCACGTCTGTGGAAAGACATGCTCATATGCAATCTTCAGATCAGATATTTATTTGCTTTCAATAGTTGGATATGATGTCACTAAGCAGGAAAGAAGTTGATCAATACTAATGAAGTTTTTAATTAAAATAGCAACAGACATATTTATTGTAATATTGAAATGATTTTTTACTGGCTTCATTCAGCATTGGAATGCCACAGTGAAGTAACATAGTTCACGTTTAATAAGTATTGTCTATGTTTGGTTTCCACAGTTGAATAAATTGTTTCACACACTTATATACTCATGTATAGTTCTATTTTAAAAGGCGGTGGTCGTCGCGCCGCATCCTGTTCGATATGGGACTCATAGCGATGTATACAACGCATGTAAAATACATTGTTTATTTACATGAAATTTCGAACATGTGCTGCGCCACAACCACTGCACTTTAAGTAAGATTCTATAATAGTTACGTTATTCCAAAAATGTCAACATCTCAATTGCAGACTTTAACTGAATAAAGGATATCTAAGCGGCGTAGCACCAAAATTAGCTTGAATATTTTCATTGAATGATAAACTGATAGCTGGGAAATAAGCATATCCTTGTCCAAGTTTGACGTTGTCATAAGCAACTCCTAAATTTTTACCATTCCTACAAAGAAAACAAAAACAATTTTAACACCAGTGAACCCAAAGACTAGTAGTAGAATTACCACGATGACAGAAAGTTGACAAAATGGCCAGACAGACAACAGACAAATGCCATCCCAATAGCTTGTTCACTGAGCTAAAATCACCTTAGACACCAAAACAATTTTACCGATTACCAAGTCCCAGGTGGTCATTTTAGGTTAGTTTAATAGTTTTTTTTTTACATTTTTATATAATATTTGATCATGTGCAAGTAAATTACAATATCTTCAAGTATGGTGGAATGCACCAGTGCGTAGTGACGATCAACACAACCCTCATTCTGCCTACTGAGTGCATGCTTTTCTGCACTCTTGGGATAACTTAATTATCATACATCTATTTCATGCTTGCAGTAAAAATAGACCATTTTATATGCACTGTGAGAATCACACGTTATGCGTGAAATCGAACGATAAAACAGGACAAACAAAGGTCATAGTGGTGTCAAAAATCGCATGGGATTCGACAAATTTCGAATTCGAAATTATTTTGGGAGGCATTTCCATGCTTAATAATGTGCTGTACACATTTGATGATAGACAATTTCGAGGGTATTCGAAAGCAATATTCCTCTGTCGAAGATCGGCCAGTCGTTGTGAGCTACGAAATAAAGAAATTCGAGTTCAAAATCAAATCGTTTGATTTGTGGCAGACGTTCAATGTGCGTCTTTCATGCATCTCGCGAGATCTCGCAGTTGAACGGAAAATCACCTATTGAATAAGTCACTATAGATGAAATGGTATTGAAAAAACAGTTTGTACTGTTCAAACCTATGCGTTTTGTGACAGGATTCCATAAGCCTAAACTCAAAGATTGTGTGCCCTGCACATCAGGAAAACAAAATTGCAATGGCAGAATGTGCATAATACAATATAATAACTGCAATAGGTAATCTGTGATATAATTACATGAGCATAGCATCAACTTTATACTATGGACATGTGAAACTCTTATAAGATGCAGCTCTAACTATACAAATTACATAGATTATACACTATATACATGTACCTGGCAAATGAGATGATCCCATTATCTGCATCTATCATACAGCTGACAACATCACCCGTTTGCCACTCGTCACCGTACTTACTGGTGGCTATATTCCATTTCCTGATACGATTACCATCATAGGAGTATGAGTCTTCAGTATCACCAACACCAATCTGTAAAAAAAAAACATGCATTTTTTTCTTCTCATATTTTCAATGTTATCCGCTGACATTTGTGGAGGATTTCAACAATAAAACAGCCCATTCTAGATCAACATGGAAATTCTAACTCAAATTCACAGAATAGAGACTTCAAAGGGCAACATAATGGGTCGGGTCTGTGAGGAAACAGTGGACGAAGGCATTTATCATTATCTTCGTTTTGGTATGTTTTCGATCGTACGCAAACTCTCGACGCAAAACAATTTTCCACCATGAGGTTTTTCAGCACGATTTGACCTGCAACAACTTCCGTTGACATAACAGGTCATGTCTTTCATTAACCAATCAAAATGATGTGTCGTAATGATGACATTTTCTGATTATTGACGATGATTTTTTAGCGCAATGCGGAAGTGAATTACCGCAATGTTAAAATGCGATTTGTAGCACTGATTGCAACGAAAAAACGATGATTTTTTTCCCTAAAAACTGGCGATTCGCAATTTCCAAAATATAAATGACGGTTAATAGTAACCGTGGGTAAACTGAGTGTGGAGGAAGAATTTAAACACCTTTCTTGGTCGCCAACATGTCTCATCGTTCAAACCCTAGGCCTTTCATGATAGTCTCAAAGTAAACCATGCCCAATAACCAGGTACACATTTTTGGCTTTTCGAAGGCTACTACTCAAAGAAATATGGATTACTCCAGAATTGCAACATCGATGTTCATCCTGAGTAAATGACAGAATAGAAACGATGCGAATCACGTTGTGTACGTTCGCCATGCATTCTGAACTGAAATTAACGCGAGTTTTCTCATAAAACTAAAAGCATGAACCAAACTAACATGCCAATCACGATTATTATGAAATGAAACACACCTTTTACACGCATATTTTAAAGAATATCGTCGACGCCCAGTAAAAACACTCTGGGCTTATAATCGTGAATGCCCTCAACTCGATAAATACCAAGTAAAAACATAGGGATGGGCTTCATACTCGGGAGGGGCTTACGATCGGGGAAGTACGGTACTTTAACGCAATTGGGCTTTCACTCTCAGAATACTGTGGTTCAAACGCATAAGGCTCTAACCCAAGTTTTAAAAAGCACATTGTGCATATAAAAGTTGAGTTTATACTAATAGTACACAATGCTTGGCAGCATGAACGGCTATGTACAATGGCGTATACGAATGCGATCAGATACTAAAACGTCATAGCTTTGAAAAGTACCCGGATGTTAAATATGTTCGTTCGTTAATTATTCCCTTCCATGAATGGCCTCCATGGCAAGCACTTCAAATGCCTGTCCAAGCTACAGTTATAATTAAAACAAAATTAAACCACTGCAATATTATTTCGAATACAGTTTAGAATATACAAAACTATAAATTAAGGCCGCATTTAGGTTCGCTTTAATATAATTTGTATCCAATGAGGGTGAAAGTTGTTGTTACCATATAAAGTAAAATTTGTGAGGCCTCCAAGGTAATAATATGAAATAATGTTGTGTTACCTCTTCGTGAAAGACACACTTGTGGGTACAAAACCCGATCTGCATCACCCCCTTAGATCCCAGCATCAATTCGTACACCCATTTGCCTTTGTATACACACACATTGGCTCTTGCTGAACTGAAGTTACTCTGACTTGCTAACACTAATTTTGCCTCATCCACAATAAATGCCCCAATTTCACTCTCAAAAACCACTTTTTCAGGACCAATACGTCCACTAGTATCACTCTTGTTTTCAGTAACTGTACCTAGGAAAAAAAGGATCACAGCAATTAACACTTTCATTGTAACAAGAAAATTAATTAAGAACTTATGCACAGTTTATTCAACTTATTCTTTGTAGTGTTTACCTTGGTTACTCATATGACACATATTTAGGCAGATTACCCTGGTACTATTTAGATATGTGGCAGTTTTAAAAGCAAGCTAAGCTAGATAAATGTTAAGTTATGCTCAGACTGTGTTGTATGTTCACCTAACAGGATTCCTGTTTAATACCCTATTCCCAATTGTGTTGTGTATTAAATATCCCCTACATCAAATCCATGTCTTAATTCACTCAGCACATTTCTATTTTATACTGTGTTACAGATTGCCTGTGAAACGTGCGTCACTAACAGTGGAGTTATATAAGCTGACAGACTTCTTTTTGAAGATTTTTTGTCTACAATATTTCAGACTTTACTATTCTTCCCTTCCAATAACGTGTATGCATAGTAGTATTTTTTAGTTTTTCAGAAGCAGCCTGGCTAATATATCACCTTACAGACTGATTGCTTTATACATATCAGATCAAACATACTTGAAAAGATTTAAAAAAAATTGATTTTCAAATTTGATCCCACACTTCCTAATTTAATCACAGACACTAGAAAGGAATGGGACGTAATATAACATCTTTCCTCAAAATTCAAAATCATGTCACGTATCACACACTGCCAATAATCACTTAGACTGCACTGTATATGATCCACTGATTAGTTTCATATTCATATTCGTATTTCATACCATTATAAATAAATAAATAATTAACTTACTTTCAGGAGAAGTGGGCTCGGTAGTGGCGTTTTTCTTTGTACACTCAACAAGCAGATTTTCTATATGGTCATTTATATTATGCAATCCAATGGCATTCCTTTAATTACAAATAAAATATAATGGCATCAAAACACAATATTTCGTTACCACAATTTTCTTACTATGAAATTAGGTAACATTAACTGTCAATATGCGCAATTATGACCTCTCAAACAGGACATGTCAGTCAATACGATCACTGTGCTGCTTCCACATACTGCATATACAACTTAATTTCAAGTAATACATTGATGCCTCATCAAACTTACTTGCTTGTCACTGGTTCTTCTATCGTAGATCCTAAGGTATGATGTATAAATTTACTGAATTCTTCATCTACTGCACCATCTACAAGGATAAAATCATACACAGATTAATGAATTTAATGAATTATATAAAGTATAGTGTTTAGTATTTGTACAATGTAAGTTTATTTCAACAATAAAAGCTTGTTTCTGTACAAAACAAAAGATGCGCACAACATTAGAAGAAACACAACTTTGGAGAGATGTATAAATTGGTAGAAATTAAAATCAGTTCATTTGTCACTTTTTGTCCATCTCCCTCAAACCACTCACCAAATAATAACTGGCAGGTCAACAGATTATTTGATGGGATAAAAGAAGAGCAATTCTCACTAAGTAAAATTTGAGGTTACATTTGTAATTACAATTTATCACATGTATCATGCATATATTTTTTCATATTACACCTAGTGATTTTTTTAATCTGATATCCGGTAGGTTCTGTCACACAATTTGAGATGATCATCCCTAATCCTGCCATAACATAGCTTGTTTGGTGACTAGACAACTTATTTTTGTAATGCGTGTTCAAAATATGATCAATTTGGATATTTTCACACAAAATAGACATTCACCAAAATTCACTTTCGTTTTAAAGTCGCATATTTCTTCACTAAATAACTATTACTGCTTGCCGATTTACTGTTGAGATGTGTTACAGCAAGTCTCAGAATTATTGAGGCAGCCAATTTACAAACTATCTAGCGAATAGGCTAACTGATTGGGTTATGGCTAAGTAGTTGGCTTTCGAATCTTGCTGGCGCCTACTCGTGGGCGTGTCCACTCTGGGCGAGTCTAAGTTGCATTATGGGACATAGAATGTTTTTACGGAGCCTAGTAGGTACATGTCTAGATTCCCCTGTATGATTTGCTGTGTTATGAGGCATGATAATGTAAAAGTAGTTTCCCTAGCTGGTAAGCGATAATATGATAAATGCAATTAATCCGCCGATATTTACTATATGGGGGTAGCCATCTTGAGCACTGCTTGAAACTAAATAAAGAGACAAGTTGAGAAACAGTTTCGTACAAATCAGGAAGAAAATGACAAGCTTCCACATCTAAATGATCCGTCAGGGTAACATAAGCCAACCGTTAAAAAGAAATCGACCTCATTACACATAGAACACTTTCCCTGGTATATTTGAAAGCGAAATCGTCATCCAACTGTGGCTGATTAGCTCCTAATGTATGATGACCGTCCCCTGCTGTTATATAGATTCGCCCAGAGTGGGCGTGACCACAAGACAGCTCCAGCAAGATTTGAAAGCCAACC